TTACCACCCCACGCCTTTTCTTATTTTCTTTTCTCTATACTCTGTTATCTCATTCTCTTCGACTTCTCTCGCCCTCTAGCTAGGTTTTCTACCCCTTCGAGACACCCTGGAACCAGTGTCTCCCTGGAACCCCCTACCACTGTCTACCCCACCGCAGTTCCAAACTCTGCTAACACCACAAAACAGACCACGATTCTATTGTTCGATAACCACTCACCCGTGAGCCCTTCTCTCGCGCTTTTCTTCATCCCAGCTAATGACGTACCACCCATTCGACATTGTACGAGTGTTTCTCCTTTATTATCAAGACCAATAACATGGCATCATGATGGGGGTGAGGGAACATGTACCCAAGTGTGTCAAAAACATGATTAATCAATCTGTCAATTGAAATTTATCGGGGGAATAACGATTTTTGTCTGACTGCAGCGCTCATCGTTAAGGATCCAACTGATTTTTTACAGAAATAAAACGTTTTTATTTAAATAATCTATAATTTACCAGAAAATCGTAGAAGACATCCGCTACTAAAGACATCAGCATTTCAACTCAACAAAAATTCTCATTACCAATTCTCCAGAAAATAATTTATTGATATGGGAATAATTTTGAAGGATAATGAATAAATGATGATAATAACTGGAAAAATATTTCTGTTTCAGGTTTATCAATGCAAGACGTAGAATCGTTCAACCGATGATCGATCAAAGCAATAGAGCCGGTAAGTCGAGCCCAGTAATACCATCAAACACTTATACACATGACACTAATACTCACGCTGCTCCATTGAACTTTCCTGGCTACGGATATCCAGAGTATCCAAATGCTTTTGGCACGAGTTATCAGTTCATGTAGATTTGTCTCGACATTACCTCCTCCATCCAGTTGAAATGGAAATTGAGCCGTCAATTGTTCCCAATTAATCTAGAAATAAATCATCCATTAATACCTTCAATCAAGCAATTATAAAAAAATCAATGAATGTTCAAATAAACAATCTATTGTAACTCCAATTAATCTTTCAACTGAATAAATAAAATGATGATACATTACCCATTATCATCGTTAGCTTTCATGTTTTGCAAGTTCATTACCCAGTGTTTAATTGAATCACTCAGTCAATCGAAATTCAACCGAAGTCATTATCTTTCACATATTATCTGTCAAATTACATATCACCCCTTTCCACCCTTGAATAAAACTGAATTTGGAAGACGTAGAATGATTGTTAAGCAATGACAGTGATAGATAAATGAGAGTTTAAGATCATTCTAATAATACTTTCCGGACACTCAACCGATTTATCTGAGGATAAAATTTGTCCTCAAATCTCTTTCTTTCCTCCATTTTACGACGTGAAAATCACTTCGTTTGCAGTAAAACCAGAGGGTAGCTTGAGGGATCTTGAGTAGCGAAATGGAAAAAGGGGTTGGGAGGTTAGACGACTGGTGGATAACGTTTGGATAACGGTGGGATAATTGGTACCGGTGATCAGACGAGGTTTTATGGTTCAACAACATGCGTCCCACCTCATGAAAATCCCGTATCTCTTTTTATACGTTTGGGTTGTTTAGGTGAATTGGAATGGTGTGATGATGTCCTCTTGTTTTGTTTTTTTTTCTTTTCTCTCTTTTGTCGAGGAAAACGGGAGTCGTGAGGAAAAACTTGGGCAATGGCCGAAACTGAGAGGCGATTTTGGGTTGTTTTACGACTGGTCCCCTCATAAACACTCGGTGAGTTTACTGGTTGTTTGGTCCTTTGCGTTAAAAGAACGGACAACTTACGAGGGGATGTGGGGATTCGTGACTGTTAGTTAGGTACAACAGTTTTCTTGGGTAATCGTCTGATAAACATTTGGGATTTATTATGGGGAAATCAGGCTTTTAGGGGGTACATTTTTTCTCTCGGAATTGATTCATCAGACGTTTTTTGCACTCGCTCTCTGTGGAATCATCCATCAAACATATATATATATATAATGTAACTAAAAAGTCAATAAACTATTATAAAACAATGTCTCGACCTTCATTTTTAATGAAAAATATTGAGCATCAACTGTAAAAAATAAAAATTAACATCTGGATTTTTCGTGCGGTCTCGGATTAAATCGTTTAACTCTCAAATTTGACCCTTCGTAGGGTCAAAAACTCAGGCTAGACCTTCAACTATGACTCTTGTGAAGGTAGACTATTGAAGTTAAGAATCAAGATTTTGATCATTCCGGAAATATCACTAGACCCTCAAGTTTAACCCTCAAAAGGGTCAAGTCCCGTTAAATCCATAAAAAGAAAGGATGAAGGTCAAATTTGAAAATCCTACATTCATCCACATGGACTATTAAAACCCATTTATTCACATTGATAATTAAAACTCATAAATGTCCCGTTCAAACGATCGAACTTTGACCCTTGCAAGGGTCAAACGAGATTGTGAATGAAATCGTGACAACCGGGGTGGGGGTTAATTCCGAATTTCCTCTTGCAATGCCGTATAAAAATGTAAAAAGCGTGAATAATTGAAGAACTCTTGTCGACACATCGGGAAATATCTGTCAGAAAATAGTTGGCGGGGTGTGTCCAGTCATAGATACGAAATGGAAACGCAAGGAGAACCAGAAATAATGTAGAGATGTCGACGGGACCCGGTTGGCAAAGTGGAAATTCGTGTCCCATCCGATTATCATCCTCGAGTCAATCCTGATCATGAGTCTGATCCTGGGGGTATTCCCCTCGCGTATCTCTCCAATCTGTCCGCGCGGGGCCATTTCATTCCTCTCTTGTTTTTTTTTTCCACTTTTTTTTATCTCTTCGGGAGCATTCTTACAGTGGTTATTGATTCGGGGTTGCAGGGTTTTTAATCTTTTAAAAATCGTGGGGATTTTTCAGGGGTGGGTTATTGGGGGCTATTAGGGGTTGATGTATCGGACGGACAGTAATATGTGATGCATTACACCCGGGGGATGTTTTTCCGGGAGGAACGTAAATTTTTCACATTCTCGAGGGATCCCACATTTTTTTTTTCAATTCTAGATGAATGTGCAATATTTTCGTTCATATTTGACGTAGGAAATTATTTCAATCATTTTTTTTATCGTATTCGAGCCTTGTTGAGCCGCGGTCGTTGATACTAATTAAAATTCCATTCATCTATTAATTTTTAAGATTTTTTCGATTTTGAAAAATCATTTTTTTTCGCAATAACTGAAGAAAAAAAATTATAATTTTTAATTCAATTCAATTTAATTTTGATAAATTGTTATTATCATTATTATCTTCATTATTTTTAAGCATTTTTAATTCGCCTTAATTTTCATTTTAATCTATAGATGAAATCCTCTTACTAATTTATTATCAAAAACAATTATACCTTACGCCATAAAAAAATTCCATTTATTTTCGTACAGAACTCCCGTGATTTTTCTGTCTCACATTTCCGTTACTCTCATTATCTTGAGAATTGTTTCCCCCCCACATTTCCGGTGGATTGCATTATCCCTGCAATGACGTATTTAAGGACCATTAAATGACATCAACCCCAAGTCTTCGAATGACACCCAATTCCGAACGCATCATCAATCATCCTTCCATTACCTAGATTTCTCACCAAAACCGTGAGAATTTTTTTCCGGTAAGGATTACCCCCGAATTTGTCGGATTGAATCTACCCGATTCAATTGACGAGAATTGAACGAAAAAGATGAAATTAAAAAAAAATTTAATTACCAGATAAATGGGAGTTAGTCTCGTATTCACGGGACAGTAGTGGGCGGAGAATTCTAATATTGCACTCATAAAGTCATGATCCCTTTAAAATCTACCTCCCCTTTCAATCACGCACGCACGAGTGCACGACAGTTCCACTATAAACTATAAAACCCCGGGGCAGTGCATCATTTTACGATGTACAAGTGCCTGTCCCTCCAGATTTACCCGCTGTCCGAGATTCCATTATATCCACATTTTTCATTGTTGTTATGGTGGAACGAATTTCCTCAACAAGTTTGTAATTTTTGATGCGTTTTTTACGATCGTCCACAGTCACGGCTGCATGTCATCATTATTACTCGCACCATTTTTCCTTTATTTATGTATCATTTTTCAAGTTTATCATCTGCAAAGTGTCTTGCCATTCCTAGCTAAATTCCCGAAAGAATTATTTTAATATCGTTTTTATTTCAAATTTATTTCCAATTCATGATCGAAAACGCAATTATAGAAAATTTTTATTGTTTATTTTTTTGTTTAAATTAGATTTATTAGGAAATAAACAAATTACAAATTTTTATTGTCATTTAATTTCATTTCTCGTCGTGTGTGAATCCAAAAAAAAATGTTAAAAAACATGTTCAAAGGTAATGCACATTAACAATAAAAAATAATTTTCTCGTCAAAAACTGATTGGAATGTCCACTCAGAATTCTTCGCCACCAACTCGATTCCCGAATTCTCAACAAAATCATCCACTGGAATTCCCTTACCCCATCGTCTCCATAAAGGTGCACCTCAATCAGATCGAGATAAGATCCCCATTGCTCCACACATCGGCAGTCCTTAAAATTCACTGAAAAAATAATCACGAGGTCTTAAAATTCACGTCAATGGCCCTCGCACTAATTTTATTGACACCAGTAAAGCCCCTCGTGTTTCTCCAGAGGCACTTGTTCGTCCTGTTCTGCCCTCTTTCCCTCCCTTCACTTATTTCTGTATCCAGAAAGGTGATACGCATATACCTACATCTCTCCAACCCTCTTTTTTTCCCCCGGAAAACGAGGTTGTAAAAGCGTAACTGCGCCCCGAAGTACCGTAAAGCTGTGGCTGTACTAGTGCATTTTGCGATGATGCCAAACGATAACCTTCGCCTAGGCTGAATACCAAAAATTTCTCGAGCCTTTCACTTTCCGATTGCGAGTTTTCCCCTGTACCCTAAAAATATGTCAAATCCACCAATTGATAAAAATCACAACTGAACAATTGCCGATTGTCTATTTTCGCTGTTCCCCTGATTCCAATTTCCCAAAAATCCATCCAATTCACTTGTTCCGCATCGAACCCGAATGAAAAATATTCCTCCATCTCACCGGAGGGAGGGCCATTAAAAAATAAACAAATTACCCAGTGGTAAAAGGCCCATATAATCACAATAAACATCACTCATCCACCGTCACATCCTCCTTGTCCAGGAGGTTTATGGTACATCGTGTGAGGCAAAAGACTATTCTTCATCTCTTCCTTTTGCTACAACAATGTGCGTAATAATTGTCCGAAGGGATTTTGCAAGCTTATTACCCCCGACATTCCAACCGGTAGCTCTTGGAGATGGTGGAGGTCACTGATGGAGAGCACAAGTCGTAGATCACGACGATTCCAGTTTGGGCTTACTCTCTTTGGGTATTTTTTCATTGTTGCTTTGGTCATTTCGAAGGATGAACATTGTGGAGATACATCTGATTGTCATTTACGACTGTCAACGTTGGACTGGTGGACAATGTCCATTTATTTATTACTGGGTAGGACGCTTTTCTACTCGGAGTGCCACGGAGAAAGCTAGTGTCAAGAATTGTTTGGAGGATTCAATGGAATGACCGCCATTTTGTGAGAGGAATAATGAAATGGCCACGCTTGAACTAATTTGACAACCCTGTAAATACTTATAATTAATTACGGATTAATTCGAACTAGCCTTCAACCATCATTTCTTACAATATTTATAGAAATTTCGTCT